TTGCTGGGGGTTCAATTAGATTATCCTTTGGGTACAATTCTAAACTTCTGGGTCAAATTTGGGGAGGGTGCAGGGTGGACACAGGCAGAGAAGAGGGGAGGTTCTGCTGCACAAGCCGAAATCCTTGCACTGATGGGATGAGGGAGTTGTATAGCATTCAAAATATGCATCTGCATATATTCTTGTGCTATTTAAATATGTATTTTCATGTAGATTCTTTAAAAAAATAAAAATAAACCCACAGATTAGGCAGAAATGAAATGGATTTATATGTGAACTCATGTGAATTTGGCAAACACCAGAAGTAATTTGACATGTTCATCCTTACTAAGAGCTTCTTTTAGAATATCAGCTAATTTCATTAAATGCAGGTCTGTCATAGAATATCACCTATCAAATCTGGGGGTTTAAAGGTGGATGTCTGGAGAAAATTTTACATACACCCTTGTTTTTGATTTTGATACACTGGACACCAATTGTTCACAGCTGCTGCTTTCCCCAATCAATACTTAGTTGAAACAAGGGCTTCCTTCTAAGATTATCTCAAACAATTATGGATCACCATGATGATGTTACAATATCACAGAATCAGTTAATTTGGCCACATAGTGACATAAAGCCAAAACAAAAGAAATCATTCTTGATGACTCCACAAAATCTACCAGATTGGACCATGCGACAATGTCACAAACCAGGACTCAGCTAGACTGGTAAAGAAAAAGCGATGGATATGTGTTGTATGTGTGATATAACATTGTGCCACCAGACGGTGACGTGGAGTCCTGTTTTTCGCTACCTGTTTTCCCTGTTTAAATTTACAACGCTTTAAACTGAAACACTTCTTTGATGTGTCGAGATCCAGCATGGGAGCAATATTCTTGCCTGTAGGCTAAATAGAAACATTTTAACCAACAATTTCTCAGTTTGAGGAGAGGGTGGATTTCAGGAAGGCCCTCCTTCAACTACTGTATTTTTCGCACCATAGGACACACTTTTTCTCTCCTAAAAAGCAAGGGAAAATGTGTGTGCGTCCTATGGAGCGAATGCAGGGGGGAGGCAGTCGGGAAAAGCCCCCAAGAGCTGCACACAAGCTCCGTGCGCTCTTGCGGGCTTTTCTCCAGGAGGGAGAAGGGACTGACTGGCCGCATCAGTTGCTTCTCCCACCTCCCAGAAAAGCCAGGAGAAGCCGCGATCTCTTTAAAGGGGTTGTGCGGCTTCTGCGGGCTTTTGCGAGAGGTGAGGGAATCCCCCCACCTCCCAGGAAAGCCAGAAGAAGCCGTGCAGCCCTTTTAAAGTGTGTGCGGCTTCTGCCGGTTTTGCGAAAGGTGAGGGAATCCCCCCACCTCCCAGAAAAGCCAGGAAAGCCCTGCGCAGCGTCTCCCGGCAAGGAGAGGCTGCACGGGGCTATGGATTCTTTAGCCCCACGCAGCCTCTCCCGGGAGGGAGAGGATGCACGGGGCTAAAGGGGAAGCCAAAACAGCAAGCGGGATCCATCCCGCCCCCTGCCTTGGCTCGCTCCATAGCTGCGCGCAACCCCTCCGGCAACGAGAGGCTCCACGGGGCTAAAGGGGAAGCCAAAACAGCGAGAGGGATCCATCCCGCCCCCTGCCTTGGCTTGCTCCATAGCTGCGCGCAACCCCTCCGGCAAGGAGAGGCTGCACGGGGCTATGGCTTCTTTAGCCCTGCGCAGCGTCTCCTGGCAAGGAGAGGCTGCACGGGGCTAAAGGGGAAGCCAAAACAGCTAGCGGGATCCATCCTGCTCGCTGCCTTGGCTTGTGCCATAGCCGCGCGCAACCCCTCCGGCAGGGAGAGGTTGTGCGCAGCCTGTACGCTGCTCTTTGGGGCTGGGGGGGAAATATTTTTTTTCTTGATTTCCCCCCCTAAAAACTGGGTGCGCCCTATGGTGCGAAAAATACGGTATGTTTCTATCTTATCTATTAATTATATTGTTACTGGATGTGACATTTTACCATCCAAGGTACAGTGGTACCTCAGGTTACATACGCTTCAGGTTACAGACACTTCAGATTACAGACTCCGCTAACCCAGAAATAGTACCTCGAGTTAAGAACTTTGCTTCAGGATGAGAACAGAAATCGTGCTCCCGCGGTGCAGCGGCAGCGGGAGGCCCTATTAGGTAAAGTGGTGCTTCAGGTTAAGAACAGTTTCAGGTTAAGAACGGACCTCCGAAATGAATTAAGTACTTAACCCGAGGTACCACTGTACAGTTCCTTGCTCTAAGTTATTTTAGCGCCATGATTGTTGGAAATAGTGAGCAATTGTGAGGTATGAATCCTTGAGTTTGACGACCATCACAACACCTGTTTGATTTGGCTTTATTATTATTATTATTATTATTATTATTAATAGCAACAATTTATTTATTTATACCCCACCCATCTGGCTGGGTCTCCCCATTAGTTCCTTCAAATGTAGCTGAATTCGCAATCACCACAGAATGTTATGTGCTTCCAATTATGTGCCATTAGCCACCACAGAAAATGTTTTTTTTTTAAAAGCAATCCACAGATATAAGAAGCTCCTCTGTATTGAATATGTAATGGAATTAAAAGAAATAATAGATTTGAACAAATGGATTAAAGTAATTTGATTACTGTAATCACAGTATCTCTGAAGCTATTGTGTCACAAACACAAATTACAAGCTACACACATTTACAATTTAAATTAAGGTTTAAAAGGGTTTGAACATTCTAGTTATTCCTTCTGTCAATCCAGAAGAGGGCAACATTGAACTACAGTTGAAAGCTGACAAAGCCTTTGTCGAGTTAAGTGTAGACTGATTAATTTAAAAATTAATGATTGGAAACAAAGGAGTTAAATATAAAACATTTCACTTTCTTTATAGATATTTAATACCATGCCAGTCGGCATCCAGGCCGACTTCCTGTGTTGGTATCTATTTAGACTTAATATCTCAATTATTCCAAATTACCTTTGTCAATAAGAAATAGCAAATTGCATGATGTAGAGAGTCAAATAAAGCTAAATGTCTAGCAAAAGTCCAATTATTTCATTGGAAGGGGTGGGCACGAAATATATTTTACAGGGAGAGATGCTGAATGAAACATAAACAGCAAAAAAAGAGATTGCTATTGCTTATCTTATTTGTTATATTTTATTTATTTAAACATTATTTATAAGCTGCCTTCTTAGGCATGGCGCATCCAAGGTGGCTCACAAAATTATAGTAGTGCAATAAACAGAATGTTCCAAAATAATCAAAATTGAATAAGGCAGCCACATTAGCTGTATTTTGCAACACAACTCTGTGGAAAAAGCCTTTTGGAAAAGAAGAATTTAAAAAAACCTTCCAAAAATCTCTACAGAAGAGGCCATACACACCTCTGAAGGAAAACGAGCCACAACAGATTGAAAAAACACCTTAGTATAGTTAGTTTCTTTCCTGTCCTTCTAAGTTTGAACAACATGCAACACTGCAAATCCCACAGGTAGGAATTGAGTAGCTGGAGAAACACTTTTCACAAATGTTTTCTAAGTGTCATTTCATGCAACTATTGGATGCATAGCAGCATGGAGAAGGAAGCTGGTAGATGCTAGCTCTCATCCTCTGACAAACCAGCTGTGGGCATCTGTTGTTACATTCAGGATTCAGTTGTCAGCATCCGTGAGCAAATGCTTGAATAGCAAAGTACGGGCACGTAGATGAAATGGGAAGTAGTTTAATGGCAAATTTTGAAGTGTTGGAGCTCATTGCTGCCCCACCACAGAGAGTCTAAATTGCAGACAACTGTGTGTGTTGCTCCATATATACACATCTATGCTTGAGAGCCAGTGTGGTGTAGTGGTTAAGAGTGGTAGACTCGTAATCTGGTGGACTGGGTTCACATCCCTGGTCCTCCACATGCAGCTGCTGGGTGACCTTGGGCCAGTCACACTTCTCTGAAGTTTCTCAGCCTCACTCACCTCACAGAGTGTTTGTTGTGGGGGAGGAAGGGAAAGGAGAATGTTAGCCGCTTTGAGACTCCTTAAAGGTAGTTTTTACGGCTATTGGGTGGTTGCTCGAGAGCGATCAGGCAAGATCCCTCACTGGTCCTTTCAAAAGCTTTATTATTGGTGCAAAAACCTTTACAATGCAGAACGCCTCTATTCCATGTCTTGCCCACTCACTAGCAGAAACTGAGAGTGGGCAGTCCTTAAAGTTTCCCCAGCAAAGTAGTTTCTTGACCCCCAGTCTGCGCCTCCCCTCTCTGTGCGGAAGCTTACTGCGCAAGGAAGGCTTGGGTAAAGGAGGACCTCCTTCCTCCCTGCTTTGCTCAGGCAAGGTGTCCTGGCACTGCCTTGCATCCTCCAAGCCCTGCGGCACTAGAGGCGTGGCTTCCTTCCTCCGCTGAGGAAGTGCTGCTTCCCACGATTTTTGGAGGCTCTCTGTAATCCATCTGCCCTTCCCCCTCTCGCCTCTGAGCCGATGGCAGTTCCCTGACAGTAGTGATAAAGCGGGATATCAAATCCAAACTCTTCTTCTTCTTGAACCCACCAAGAGCAGCAGTATGTAGCATAATGCCAAGTCACACCATAAAGCATGGTGACACTACTTTAAACAGTTATGGCTTCCTCCAAAAAATTCTCGGAGCTTTAGCTTGTTAAGGGAGCTGAAAGTTGTTAGGAGACCCTCTATTCACCTCCCAGAGCTAGTATTTCCCGTTCACCCTGTGATGAGAGATGGATTGTTAAACTATTTTAGGAATCACAGCTCTGGCAGCAGAATAGGGTTCTCCTAACAACTCTCAAATCCCTTAACAAAGTACAGCTCCTAAAAATCTTAGGGAGGAGCCATTACTGTTTAAAGCAGTGTCATCGTCCCTTAAATGCATGGTGTGAATGTGGCCCCGAGGATCAGATGACCGCCATGGAATAGATATGTATAGAATTCTCAATGAATTTCTGTCAGTGCATGGAGCAGGAGTCAAGTAAGTGAGACTCCCTAGAATGGTAAGCCAGTAAGGTAGCTGCAAGGTGGGATAGCTCAGTTGGCAGAGCATGAGACTCATGATGTCAGGGTCATGGGTTTGAGCCCCATGTTGGGCAAAAGATTCCTGCATTGCAGGGGGTTAGACTAGATGATCCTTGGGGTCCTGTCCAATTCTACTGTACTATGCTTCCAAGGCAATGGTAGTGCATTGCCTTTGCATGCAGAAGGTCTTGGGTTCAATTCCTGCCAGTCTCCAGGTGGGGTTGCAAATATCCCCAGTTTGAAATGCTGGACAGCTACTGCTATCTGTACAGATGGAAGATAGATGGAAGTATGGTCTGACTCTGTAAGACAGCTTCCTGGGTGGTTTCTTTTCTATACATTTCTATGGAATCTATGAATTTTCTGCAACTAAAGTTAAAGGCCAGAAATGCACCACTCTACCCAGCTTCCCAAAAGAAGAGAAGAAGAGTTTGGATTTGATATCCCGCTTTATCACTACCCTAAGGAGTCTCAAAGCGGCTAGCATTCTCCTTTCCCTTCCTCCCCCACAACAAACACTCTGTGAAGTGAGTGGGGCTGAGAGACTTCAGAGAAGTGTGACTGGCCCAAGGTCACCCAGCAGCTGCATGTGGAGGAGCGGAGATGCGAACCCCGTTCACCAGATTGTGAGTCCACCGCTCTTAACCACTACACCACACTGGCCCTCTAAAAATGAGCAGTTCTTCATTATGTTAAGTTCTTGAAGTTCTTAAAGCTTGGTGGTATATGTTATATGAGATATGCTATATGAAATGTGTCATATGATATAAGAGATTGTTAATAAAGCAAAAGAGGAAGAGGAAGAGGAAGAGGAAGAAGAAGAAGAAGAAGAAGAAGTTCTTAAAGTTTGGCATTAAATTCCACTATCTCCTTCTTGTCTTTGCTTATGTACTTACCATAGTTACCATTATCCTAAAAGCGGTGGAGACAGAAAACACAGCAATGTATTGGCAAAGCTATGGCACTGATGACCACATCCCAGCAAGGAAAGAATCTGTTCTAATAAAATATTGAGATTAGAATAAAGATTCATAGATTTCATTTTACCTTCTTTCAGCTCTCATCCAGGCCTAGATTGCAGATTTAGGGACAGATTGTCTCCAGTATAAAAGGCTGCACGAATAAAAGAAAGATAATGAATTTCTGAAATTCTAATGATTCAGATGCTTTCAGAAACCTCTTCTAAATAGCTCCACTAAATGGGCAATTATGAAGTGGAATATTTTCTGGTTAAAATATTAACATAGTTGCAAGCACATAATAAAAAAGATTCAGGTTAAATTTCCTTTAACACAGAATGAAATGGAGAGCAGGCTCATTTTCTGAGAAACCAGACTGTTAACGAGGAAGCGAGGACAGGCGCTCTTCTTCCTTTTATTAAAAAATAAAATGTTATTACCGGAAAAGGACTCATAAATGGAGCAGGAGACAAATAATTTTAACATATATAAACTAGAGGCTTGCAGACAAGGATCCAGCAGTTTCTTTGAAATATAGCATTTCTCAGCATTTCTGGGCAACAACACACAAAGCCTTTCCTATCCCACAAGGCAGCATCTGCCCCTAGAAATACAGTATATCGTATCAGAATGGAGAAGACCATGGCCAGACAACCTGTGTGTCTACTCAGATTGTTGCCCCGGTGAGAACTATTGATGGGAAGCTTCAAGTCTCCTACTCTCCCTTCTTATGGTCTTCATCATCAAACTGGACGTGGACCAGATTGCCCTTCAAAAGGAGGACCAGTAGCAAACTTATGAAACTGACAGATGGAATGAAGTGGCCCATTTCGGATATAACAATAGCCATACTTTATTGTCACCTGGATGAGCAAGAGAAAGCATCATCTGATCCTCCCTTCCCTCTTCTCCAATGTGGTCATGGGGAGGAATTCAGCAATGTTCACTTCCTTTTTAAAGCTAAATAGAGTGAGTTACTCACCACATTCAAACAGGAAAAACCCTTAATTTCCTTCAACTATTTGTTAACCAGCTAGGTTTGGGTGCACCAGCCAGAAATCCTCCTACATCAGAGCTTTTGATTGCTATTTTTTTATCTTTCTTTTTTCAGTGTCAAAAGGGAACTGACTTCAAAACTCCTTGTTTTCTCTCTATGCTAGATATAGTGTTTCCTTTTTCTTTTAAAGGACTTTGGTTTTTGCACTAAAGGGACCTCATGGTTGTGATCTTTGGCCATCAAAATCTCTAGCTTTAATTAAAAATCTCTTTTTTTCATATTAGCAAGCTAATCAGTAAAAGGCCAGTCTCGCAGCATTCTCTGCTGCTCTTGCATTCTCTTGGAATGAATGTTTAGCCATACGTGGCTGACTCTGCGTAGTCCTAACTTCTCTTGCAGAACTTATTTCGAGATGCTGCTACCTGTGGCTTTTAAAATGAACCAGATTGCTGAGGTTCAGCAGCTTCTCACTGGTTCAAGTCAAATGGTACATTTAATACAAGACTGTTTTGCAAGTCTGGTGCACTGTTACGACCATAGGAAGCTGCCTTGAACAAAGTTCTGGTTCATCTAGCTTAGTATCTGACTTTTAGAAGACATCTGAAGGCAGCCCTGTTTAGGGAAGCCCTGTTTGAAGTTTTATTGTGTTTTTAATATTCTGTTGGGAGCTGCCCAGAGTGGCTGGGGGAACCCAGCCAGATGGGCAGGGTATTTATTTATTTATTTACACACACACACACACACACACACACACACACACACCAATTGGCAGCAGCTCTCCGAGGTTTCAGACAGACTTTTCTCCCTAGCTGGAGATGACCAATAGCTGCTGTTAGGCAGGACTGTTTTGTCAACTTAGCAACCCAATACCATGCTGGTTACTGAGAGAGGGAAAGGGAGGGGAAGGCAGTAGGGAGCTCAGTGCAATGCGGGTGCAGCATTATATACCCCTCAATGCTCCCAAAACAAACAGGACACCCCATTTTTTCCTCACGAGAGCACAATTTAGCACTGCAATTTTGGCCCTTAAAAAACACTTTTCGGGACTGTGATCTCGCAGGGGTCATGTGCCTTGCCTGGGAGTGTGGAGCCCAGAAGATGGCATCCCAGTTTTTCATCGTGACAGGCTGGAGGGTATGGCATTGGAGGGTGAAAGAAGGAAGAATGAAAGTTGAGGACTTTCTTTTAAATGACTCTCTTCAATATCTGTCTCTGGAGATCATGTGATAAGAAACTAAGCTTTAAGTCTTCGCAAGACACGCAACTCACTTGTTGCTTTCCCAGGAAAATGACTTTTTCTTTCTCTGCTCTTTATTTCCGACTGTAATAATAATGCTATAACGGTGCAGGTGCCTGCATGCATAGTCTAGCTGATCAGATGGAAGTATCAGGCTTGAATCTGGGAGACTTGCAGCTGTATCTTATGCTCTTCTTTACAATGGCAGTTAAATAGGTGAAAGGTTCCTTATACCGATACTTAACATTGCACAGGTAGAGACATGAGGGAATTTGAGTTTCATTAGCTGGAGCTGGCAACACAACTCTGTGTGTGTCTACTCACAATTAAGCAATGCTAAATTCAGTGGAACCAGCTCCCAGTCCAGTGTGTCTAGGATTGCAGCCTAAACTCTGATGCTATTCTCTACCACATGCACAACCCTATTCCTTTAGGCACAAAGATAACACAAAATTTCTTAGTGCCTAATAACAGTGAAAAGGTTAAAACTGTAGCTTATATTGAATGTATACCAGGAAAAAAGAATCACATGCTGTGTAGAAGCCACCCCTTCTTGCACACTTTCTGCTGAATGCACAGAGACTGAGGCTGAGGTCAGTAGGTGCAATCCTGCTCCCTTTCACATGTTCAAATGAAGGTGCAAAAAGGTCTTATGTCTCAAATCCAGCCTGGCATAGTCTCAACTGCTTTCATGACTCACTCGTCTAACATAAACCAATGAAGCCAAATAAAATCTGTAAATTTCAAATAAGGTGTATATTTGCACATACACAAATGTTAAGAGGGACGCGGGTGGCACTGTGGGTTAAACCACAGAGCCTAGGACTTGCCAATCAGAAGGTAGGCGGTTTGAATCCACGCGACGGGGTGAGCTCCCATTGCTCAGTCCCTGCTCCTGCCAACCTAGCAGTTTGAAAGCATGTCAAAGTGCAAGTAGATAAATAGGTACCGCTCCGGCGGGAAGGTAAACGGCGTTTCCGTGAGCTGCTCTGGTTTGCTAGAAGCGGCTTAGTCATGCTGGCCACATGACCTGGAAGCTGTACGCCGGCTCCCTCGGCCAATAAAGCGAGATGAGCACCACAACTCCAGAGTCAGCCACAACTGGACCTAATGGTCAGGGGTCCCTTTACCTTTAAATGTTCAGATGTTGCTGAAGTGAGACTGGTACACTTTTCAAATATGTTTGCCTTTATTTCTGGTTCACTCATCCTGCTTGCGGGCTTCCCTAGACATTTGGCTTGCCACTGTGGGAACAGGTTACTGGACTAGAATGGCCTTCGGGCTTTTCCAGCAGGGCTCTTGTGTTCTCATGTTGATTTTCTTATACAGAGAGAGCACAGGTTGGTGATATAAAGTTGGTGGTATCTGGCAAGTTTACCAATGACGTGATGGGTTGACAGTTCAGGTGGGAAATTACAGTCTGTATGAAAGTGAGTCACTCATCCCTAAATCTGTTTTACACATATGACAGCCGGAGACTTTAGCTTTTATTTTTAGTAGTGTAACTGCTTGGCTTCAGGCTGTACAAAGTAAACCCTTTCTGAAAGCACATTTTCCATACGAAAATCACCCAGTGGCTCCAGATCCCCTCTAAGCAAGTGTGCAGATGTTTTAAAACCAGTAATTTATATGTAACCTGAAAACAAAAGCTTATAAAGTGTATACTTTTTACTCTGGGTATTACCATAGATTAATGTGTAATTTTCAGCAGCAGCCTCCTGTTTGTGCAATGCTCTCCCCAGAGAAATACACAAGGTGTCGTCATTGTCAGTTTTTAGGTGCCAGGCTAAACCATTTTACTAATTTACCTCTGCTGGTTAAGTAAGCCTCTACTACAGTTTTCCACGTTCATTGGAGTGGGGTGCAACCTGCCCTTCTTGTGTTGTTGGATGAGCGTTTTTGGAATTTTGAATTCTTTGTTGCTTTAAAATCTTCTGGCTTTTAATTGATTTAATCAATTTGTCTTTTATCTTTGCTTTGAGACTTTTTCTGTATCAATCAATTAACATATGCAATTGTTGTTGTTGACAATGATTTCAGACTCCTAACAGACTGAATTTAACAAAAGCAGGTTAGGTGGCACACACACATTCCTGAAAAATTAGGAATCATACATTTGCGTATGTATGTTTTCACTGGCTTACAGTGCAAGCTTAACCATGTCAGCTCAGAAGTAAGTCCTATGGAATTTAATGGAATTTACTCCCAAATAAGTGGGATTAGGATTTGCAGCCTTATTGTTGTTGGCATCTGTCTGTCTCAGGAAACAATGGAGGAGTGCGCCTTCGGGGGCGAAGTCAAACTATTGGAAGGTAGCAAGAGAGACAGATATAAGAAAGCTTGGGTTGGGGGTCTCTGTCTGGCTGGAATCCTCACCCTGGTTGTCCACTGAGACCTTGCCAGTTTGGATTGCACCTTGCCAGGGTTGAACACTGGCCAACGCCCATGGAACAGGTTTGGCACTGTCCAGCCCCAGCAGATCACATTCCACCAGCATGAGATGAGCGGAATGATGAACTGTTCCTGCTCCTACTGCTAGGCCAGTTCTTATTCTGCCTGTTGCCAACAATGAAGATTTGGCCTGATTTCATCGCAACACTTGTTGTCCTGTCTGGTCATTTATTGCTCTTCTTGGTCACAGAATTGACCAAGATGGAACAAGCCCATCTTTCTCATCCCCTCAATGCATTTGCAACATTTTGATTGTTTTTAATTACAGTGGTGCCTCAGGTTAAGTACTTAATTTGTTCCGGAGGTCCGTTCTTAACCTGAAACTGTTCTGAACCTGAAGCACCACTTTAGCTAATGGGGCCTCCCACTGCTGCCGCGCTGCCGGAGCCCGATTTCTGTTCTCATCCTGAAGCAAAGTTCTTAACCTGAAGCACTTTTTCTGGGTTAGCAGAGTGTGTAACCTGAAGCGTATGTAACCTGAAGCATATGTAACCCCAGGTACCACTGTATTTAAATTAACATTTGACAACAACCCTTGAATGGAAAATACATTTGTTACATTTGCCTTGCTGTGGGAAAGGTTGGTGGGCAGCGAGTTCCGCCAAGAGTTGAGTGGTCATGTGCCCTACTTTGCAGAGGACAATCTTTTGTTTATAGGGCTGCCAGGGGACAATCCCAAGTTAAGTATAAGGATAAAGTGCCAAATGAAGGAAAAGCAGGACTCTTTGCAGTGGCCCTGCAAACTGAGAAGGAACACAGGTCACCTTGTCACAGGTCTTCCCCATTTTAAGTAAGATGTATTCCATTCTAATTAACTTATTGTCATGAAATTCTACTCAGTATTGATCCAGAGCAGATTCCAGGATATAGTTAGCAGAGTAACAACTTAAACACGTTGCAGGATTCCCAAAAAATAGACCAGAGGCAATTAATATTTCATCCAGCAGAGCTTTACTGCGACTGAAGGCATATGAGCTTAATGGTCACAATTCCAATACATTCAGAATTGGCACTATCCTGGCAATGCCACCATTTTCCGGAGTGGGTGCTTTGTGAATTTTTTGGAATACAAGGCTGGCCTTTTTTAGCATGGCTTTTGCTTTGAAAACAAGATTGTGCATGCCATGGGCAAAAGGGGCAGCTCATCTGGTAGTCATGTCTTTCCTCTCCCCCTTTTGCACATATTAATACAATGAGGTAAATTACTGCTAAACAAATCACGGCTGCTGCAAGTCACAGTAAGTCGTCAGCATCAGCCTAAGCGCTAAGCAAGCTGTTTCTTCCCGAATTGGTGCACGATAAATGCTTCCTTCACAATGGAAAATGTTCTGCAGAAGGCTTTCCCTACCTCTACACAGATTTTGGTCCTCTTTCTTGAGTGACAGGGTGAGGCCGCATCACAGTTCTGCCTTGCGATGGAACCAGTGCAACTCAGTGGGTGGTCAGACTAGGCCAGATGGCTTTTCCCTCCGACGGGTGTAAGATCTATGTTCTGAAGCCAAGTTGCAGGAATGAAAGCCCAGAAAAAACAGATGCAAGCCATTATCTTTGGTTGCCGCAACTGTTTAAATGCTCAGTTTCCCCCCCTCAGGTAATTTTTCCAATATGACATGCGCCACTTAATATATTATATCCAGGACTGAACCTTTTTTACTGTTAAGAGTGCGGAGGAATTATACATCATAACCAAAAAATGTGCGCGCTGCCATAGAAATGGGCAAACCTGTCAATTTCAGTTTCAGTTTCAGGAAAGTTCAGCTCACATTTCCACATCATTTTTTAAAGACCTCATGAAAATTCATCAGCATTTTAGTGCCAGTTTCTCTTAATATACATGTCTCCGTGTGATTTTTCTTAACATGTGTACATGTTTTTGCATTGTAATGCAATTTCCCTAACAGAATACATTTTTGTATGCTATTTTTACTAATTATGTTTGGGGGTTTTTGTACACTTTGCCTCAGGATATGCATTTTTGTACACTTTATATGGCTGGTGAACTGGATTGCAAAATCCAGAAAAGTGCAGCTTTTCAAGGATTGCTGTGTTTCAGTTCCTGCATTGTTCTAGAACATGTGAATTAGGTAGGTTTTGCCTTTAAATGTGAACTAAACTGAAATATTCCCCTATGGGTGTGTCAGGACTCTCTTATTCTCCAGCTGTTTTTAGCTTGGATTGTCCTGGAATTGTAATTCTGCATTCAAACCCACAAGAAATCATTTGTGGGTTAAAATTCGCATGAAGGCAATGTGTTACCATTTAAATGATGGACACTATTTTGAAATTTGTACAAATGTATATAGGCAATTGTAATGAGTATGGGTTGCTCGTGCGTAAGTTGCCGCCTCTCCTGGCTTTGTTGCCTTGTTAAACCTTTCAGTCTGGGCAGCCCTTCACTTCGTGGCTGCCTCAGTCGCTAGCAGAATCCGTCAGTGGGCGTTTCTTAAATCTTTTCCAACATAAAAGTTGTTTGACACCCAGTCTCCTCCTACTCTCTCTGCATGGAAGTCTTCTGCGCAGGGAGGGCGTGGGTAGCGGAGGACCCGTGCTCTCCCCGCTGGTGTCCGGTGAAGAGTCCTGGAGCCCTCTCGCCGATTCCCCCATCTGCCCCCCTTTATCCCTGGTGTTGCGCTGATTTGCTTCCCCATCTGCGGAGCTGCCTCTCTCCCTGCTGGGCCCTTCTCCAGCATCATTTGAGAGCCTTCCCTCCGCCTCTAGCTCCGATGTCAGTTCCCTGACAGCAATATCAGGTTTCGGGGAATTCTATCCCTCCCCCAGTGGTAGCAAGGAGCAGAGAAAAACAGGGAAGAGTTCTTACTAATGAGTTTATTCAGTCATCACAGCGAGAGACAAAGGAATGCAGTCTACCTCCTGTTAATGGCGTTGCTCCAACTGAGCTCCTCCCTTCCCCCTTCCTAGCAACATCGCTTCCCCTTACGTTGGCTGCCAGTGGCTAATTGTCTCTTAGTCCTTTGCTCTTGCACTCTCAATGAACGCTATGTTTTGGAAGAAAGGAGGGGGGGTCATAAATACTCTCCAGGGATAACGTGTCAGCTGGCTGCTCTTGCTCTGTGTCCCCCCTCTCTTCTCCCAACACCTCCCAACTCTTCTGTTCTCCTGTCTCTGAGCTGTGACCTTTCTCAAAGCACTGCAATAGTTCAATACCACCTTCTCTTCTCTGGAAACTTCAGGAGAAAATGGAGGGCATCTCCACCATTCCTTCTCAACTTTGTTCCCTTCAGTCCAGTCAATTATTATGAAAATTTGCGTAATATTTTCTTCTCCTTTTTGGTGATGCATTTCCTTTGGGTAAGGTGATGTGTAAGTGGTCAACCTTACACAAGCTGGACTTTCTCATGCACTTTGCAGCTTAACAGTTTCTTGAAGCAAAATGTTTTCTTTTTTAAAAAAAGTTTTCCCTTTTACATTGTCCAGATTGATTGTTTGTTGACTGAAGGAGATAAGAGGGTTGGGTTTTTGGCTGCAGGATACTCACTCAGAATTATCCAAATAATCACAAAGTTCAGTTAATGACCTTGGGCCTCACTTTTCTCACTGGTAAAATGAGTGATGAAGACAGATGCTGTGAAAACTAGGATAGAAGGGAAAGAATTCTAATGAATTACAATAGTTGAATTTTATTTAATAGCAAGCCCACACAATGCAGCCAGGGACTCTGGAAGCCGTCTTAAAAGGCTGGGGTGTTGGGGCTCAATGCAATTAATTATGTGTAGCAGTAGCTGCATGAAACATGGATGAGCTTGTAGAACTTCAGAATACAGCTTGTGAAAATATTGCATTAAAGAAAAACACCTCTGTGACATGACAGCTGCTGAAATGTTTCTATGTGCTGGAAGTTGGAGCATTTATTACAGTCCTCTGAAATTATGCTTTCCTCTCTCTCTGCAGTGCTTTTTAATAAGTGCAATGCAGGTAACAAAGAAATATACAGAAAGATATTAGAATAAAACATACTTATGGGCATATGTGATACTAGATGTTCTCTTTTCTCCATTCCACAATTCTAAGTTTAGGAATCTGTTAGGTTAATGAACCTTTTTGTCCCTGCCCAATGACATGCAAACATCCGGAAGAACCTTCTGACAGTAAGAGCTGTTTGACAGTGGAATAGACTCCCTTGGGAGATGGTGGACTCTCTTTCATTGGAGGCTTTTAAGCAGAGGTTGGATGGCCATCTGTCATGGATGCTTCAGTCGAGATTCCTGCTTTGCAGGGTTGGATGTGAGGGCGAGAGGCTGCGACATCTGTCACCCCATTGATCGCCAGGGTTGATTTGGCTGATCTGGCTGGCTAGGCAGGTGTCCCCTTCCTCTGTCACTGCTCCATGTGCGTCCCTCCAAAGCTGCGTGCTCGGTGGAAGAGGACAATCATCCCAGATAGAAGGAGTGTACCGTTCTTTGGTCAAGGGTAATCAATAGCTTCATTGCAGGGTGTTGGACTAGATGGTCCTCAGGGTCCCACCCAATTCTACAATTCTATGATTCTATGAAATCTGAGATCCATAGCAAGATTTGATAGTAGTACTTAGAAGTATATTTTGAAAAGTTTCCCTGGCATATGCAGACAATAAATGTGTGCCAAACCATACAGACGTGATCTGGAATGCCTTGATCTTGAATTACGTACAGTTGATGTGTTGAAACAGAAGCCATAATAAACTCAAAGCTCAAATATCAGTTCACAGTACTGCTCCTGATTTTGGAGGTTCCAAGATGCTGCCATCTTCATAAATAGCTCCTTGAAACTTCTGACTCTTTCAAGTTGCTTGCTCTCTAAAAAAAAACCATAGCTCAATTGTAGTGCCTGCCTTGCATACATACGGTCCCAGGTTCAATCCCTGAAATAGCTCAGTAGGGTCTGAAATCCCGGAGAGCCACTATCAAGTCAGCATAGAAAATACTGAGGTAGACAAACTAATGGTCTGAATCAATATAAGGCAGCTTCCTGTGTTCTTCCTTTGTGCACAGTGCACCCCATGGACCAGAAAGAGATAGCAAAGCAAGTGGAGGCTGTCATCCTTCTCCTTGCTCTTGTCACTCCTTGGAGACTGCAGGTGAATGGACACAAATAGCAAGGAGAAGGAGCTGAAACACAGAGAGCCACGGGGAGAGTGTTAAGCATTGGGCTCCCTGCTGAGGTGTGGGCCTTGGCAAATGGCCAGTGAGGCCAATCTCTGAAACTAGCCCAGTACCACTCCAACATCTTTCTCCGTAGCCTGGTTTATCTCATGCTGGTGGTGAACCAGGCCATCTGGATGGTTCGCAACAAATGAAGTTCCAAGCACCAGTTTGCCTGCTTTAGGAAGGTCTATTCTGGCATGCAAAAATGACGGTTTGTTTTTATAATGAATGACTCTGCTGATCCATTTTCCATGTGCACTGGGCAATGCAGCAAGAGAGAAAAAGTGCCCATGCATAGTTTGTGACTCATCCTCCTGCATGGATGGAATACAATAGCAACATCCAAAGAGCCAAGAGAATTAAAGCCAAGCCTTTGAAGTGGGGTTCCTTTTATAGCTACCCATAAAGTTTGTTTTTTATATATATATATATATATATATATATATATATATCAACAACTATGATTTTAGTGGGGAAATTCCAATGAAACAGAAGAAACAACATGTCTGATATTTATCAGGGGAGAGTTTGCAAGACTGATATTTTATGCATCAGTGGAATATATTCCACTGACGCATAAAATATCGGTATATAATGTATATAATGAAACAAATGAAACAAAAAGCCTTCTTTAAAACAAAGTGCGAAAAATGAGCAAATGGATGATCAGAATGAAACTCCTGTGGCTACCAGTGTTGGCATTGGCTTGAACCTTGGAATGAATTATGTTTTGTCTTTTTACTTCAAAAGTATGAAGTATCTAATCCAGCAACCTGTTACCACTGTATGCTTTCAAAAGTTTATCTGCAGATGTGAGAAACGTAACTAGCAATCTGCTAATCACAGTGCAATTGATTTCAATGAGGCTATCCTTTCATAAGCTCTTTGAAGCTTGCAACTGCAGCTGTTTTGCATAAGCAAATGGCTGAACTGGTATTTCAAATGCAATACACAGTTTGTTAAAGTCTGTGCTTGGGCTAAGTTTTCTGGCGTACACAGTAATTATTCTACAAGCAGAAAGATTCAAAATATTTTAACAACATGCAAATGTTTGAATTGCAATGTATACATTAGCAGAAAGACATTCATTTTTCAGCATTTCTGCAGCTGCACTTTTTTCCTTTAGTATACAACAGATGTCTTCAAAGAACTTATCACCCATATGGCCCTAAATGTTTTATCCATGGTTCTGTGATTATTTGAGAAGAGCTTTGTGTTTAGGTAGGGTCATATTTTCATTTATTTACTTGCAAAACTTTTAAACAACCCCGGAACTTTTCTACACATGAAATTTAGAGCAAATTTCATAAGACAAAGTCAGATATCAGAGCCAGATCTCTGAGACCAGGTGTATTTTATCATTATCTAATATTGTCTAGTATCCAAGCAGTATTTATATATTTGCAGTATTTATAGCCTGCTGTTCATTAAATATTTTCAATCTGAAAATGGAGAACAAAGTCATAAAAATAAACAACTATGGACAAAAAATTCCATTGCTCAGTATCTGAAGGGGCCATTAACCCTATTCAGCCATTCCTCCTCATGTGAGTCCATTTGCATGAGGTAGATATCAGCAGAGCCTGATCCATTAGAATGAATAAAACACTGGCCAACCAATCACAGATTGCCCTCAGTCACCCCCACCCATGTGCTTTCTTACTTACAAGCAGTCCAGGCAGTTGCCAGCTGTCTCCTCCTTAGTCTCACTGTTGCCTGAGTAGAACTCAACGGAGAGAAGGAGGATGGGTCGAAAACCAGAATAAGTTGACTCTGGTTCCATCTACTGTTGGTCTCCCTGCTTCCCACCCCACCAGTCCCAATGGACAACAGACACCACTGGGTGTACCCAATATCTGCACCCCCAGGGCGGCTGCCTACCAGCTTCATCTGGCTGAGACTCTACCTGCCCGTGCACTATCTTGCCAGAGTAGTACATGCTCTGACTATCTCCCGCTTGGACTACTGCAATGTGCTCTTCGTGGGGCTACCTTTGAAGGTGACTTGGAAACTGCAACCAACCCAGAACGTGGCAGGGTTCTAAATTGTATTGGGAACCAAGACATCCAGAGCAGGCTGCCCTGCTGCAGAATTTTGGCTCTGAAAGATTGTGGCCGAAGTGTAGGCCTTTGGAAGCACAGCACAAGGGGTGGGACCAGTCAGTGCACTCCCACACTGCCCCCTCCTGTGAATGGCATCGTAGGAGGGTGGGTGGGACAATTGAATCTAGCCAGTCTAAAGCGACAAATGGCAAGTAGAAAGTGGAGTTTTACAAATCAAGACACAGTTGTGCAACCGGAAAGGAAATTCTAGCCAGGATAAAGCTGACCTGACCTGAAAGTTTACATAGGACCTCCATCCAAGAAATCAGGAAGAAGGCCAGAGTTGAAGAATGTGTAAGACTTTCCCTCCATGCTGAAGCCCTTATTCATATTGCTTCCTTAAAACTGCATGGAGAAGAAAGTATGCCACCAATGGGGGCCAGGAGATTTAGCGCACACCATTATTAACAGAGTTTCAACATAAATATGTAGTTTTGATCATAGGATAGCAAGTTTAACTTGAAAACAATACTGTCACTTGAATGTATCCCTTTCATCTGTCATGTTTGGCTGTTTCCCACGTCTATAGAAAAATAAAAGGAAATAAAATTCAGTACCATTAAAGTCAATGTTACAGTCAGTGCTGGATTTACATGTAAGCTAAACAAGCTATACCTTAGGGCCCCACTCTCTTGGGGGGCCCCCAAAAAATGTAAAGGAAAAAAACCTGGATGTACATTTCCAAAATATAAGATAAAAAAACAAACAAATTAGATAAAATGCATATTTTGTTATGTGCAAATGGCTTTAGATACCTATTAGGTCCATAAATTACCATATAGTATATATTCAACACAAAAACCAGTGACAATTTGTTGTTGACAAAGGACAGCTGGACATATAAAGGCCCCATTACCTTCAGTAGCTTAGGGCCTCATCAAACCTAAACCCCGCCCTGGTTACAGTAGGACTAAAATATGTTCACTCTCACCATTCTCATAATAACAATGGGTTTTTCTGTACCAAGTTAACATTGTGTCATATTAGGAGCATTTAGGATCGTGTCCTCTTGTAGCCTCTAGGTCACCTTAGAATAAATATTACCAATCTTGCAGGGTCAGGGTGACCATGGCAATAGGCAAGGAATAACCCAGGCAAGCTTTTCATTTCAAATAGATAAATTTGTCATAATTGTTACAACCCAGTTTTTCCAGACTTTGTTCACTTCAGCCAGAAGAATTTCCGGTAATATCCTTTATAACTTGGCTGTTGTTAGCCAAAAAACACCAGCATGTTTACTTTGAAATAAATATCTTGTACCCTGAAAGGCAGAAAGAGTCTAAACAGAAACCCGGAGACATTTCAACTTTTTCATTTCACCAGGCCAGTTCATTACCAGTATGACTCCAAATAATAAATTGATTTTTTCCCCATTGTAAAAAAAAATTACCCCCAGCTTCTTCCTGCTTATACAATTTGATGGAACACCTTCGATACCAGGCATTTTATTCTTTGATACAGTTTGGAACTGTAAAGCCATAGCTCTGTGGTGGAGCAAGTGTTTTGTATGCAGAAGGTTACAAGTTCCATCCCTTGCATCTCCAGGCAGTTGAGGAATATGGCCCTCGGGTCTTTCCACCTGGCCCTCAGAACTCTCCTCACTAGTGTTGCTTTGCATTCTGAGTGTTTTTGCCTGGCTGGACTGTCTCCTTCAGCTCTGATCATGCCTCTTGCATGTCTGGATAGAGAATAGAAATGGGTCTGTGTGTGTGTGTGTGTGTGTGTGTGTGTGTGCAGAAACCAGCCAAGTGGGCAAATATAAACATTTCATTTGTTGCTCCACCCACTTTTGTGCCAAAGAACAGCCTACTGGAATGTGAGTAATATTTCTACATGTGCCTTGATTATCTTTAATAAATCTATGTATGACAGCTTTTTGGAGTTTTGTTGAATACTATCCAGACTGAAAAGAGAAGTCTCAGGATGGAATACCTGGCATGTGGCGCTCAGAAATTTGCCCAGAGGGGAAATCAGTTGAAAAAGTTTGGGTTGGAAAAGTTCCCCATCTGTGATATAGAGAAATACTGAGCTACATGGGCCACAGCTTCCTACGATTCCAACTGTACATTCCATCTGAAGAGCCCAACACGTTTTATCAGATGAGATTATCCACATTTCAATAATAGGTTTGACACACAAACTGATGGTTCGGGGCATGCCAGGCACCATTTATGCAGAGAGAAGAAGCCCAACAT